TACTAGATTATATATATATATATATATATATATATATATATATATATATATATATATATATATATATACATATATTCTAATATTTTTTATAAGAAATTACAATATTATAATTATTATATTATATTATATTATTAATTGATTTAAAATATGTTTACGCTACACATTTCTAACTATGTTTCAAAAATGGAAGCTAGAAGCTTCGAATTTAAGTTGTAATTAAATTAAAGACATTAGTTCCATTTCATCCGCTAGCGAATTTTCGAGTAACTTATTTTAAAAATTACTGGGTTTTAAAACCCTTTAATTTTTTCTTGTTATTCCTGTTTAGGCTTCCGGGTTCTCGGGCAATGTTAAAATGTTTAAATAATTTTACCCAGTATATCTATAAGAACACCGGATTATATATCTTACTCTTCTTTTCTTTCTTTTTTATATATATATATATATATATATATATATATATATATATATATATATATATATATATTCGCTCTATCTATCTATTTATATTCTATATATCTATATATATATATTCTTTCAATTTATCTCTTTCTATATATATTCTGTCTATCTATCTGTTTATATATATATTCTCTAGCTATCTCTCTCTATATTAACTCTCTCTATCTATCTATATATATATATATGTATATATATATATATATATATATATATATATATATTCTCTCTCTCTCTCTATATATATATATATATATATATATGTTTATTCTCTCTATCTACCAATATATATTCTCCCCATTTATGTTCTATATCTCTCTATCTATCTATATATATATATATATATATATATATATATATATATATATATATATATATATATATATATATATATATATATATATATATAATCTCTATCTAACTATATATAAAAAAAAGAGAAAGAACAAATAGATAAAAATCCAAAGTTCGTTACTTTTATTTTTTAAAAGTTCTCAATACAAAGTAGAGCAAATTATTTTTATAAAATTATATATATATATATATATATATATATATATATATATATATATATATATATATAGTTGTGAACTGTATTATTTGGCCACACTGAACAATTGCATATTTTCTGAAAAATGCGAATATTTGCACGTTCATATTGGATTTAACTTATCTAGTTCATTCCGTATTTAGTTTTGAGTAATTCAAGAAATTTTTATTTATTACATTTTCAATTATAGATTTTTCTAATAACTGCAGTCCAAAAATGCAGTCCAAAATTATTCGCCACCGCCTCATGGGATTTATGAAATTATATTGCTCTATGGCAAGTATAATATCTTTTTTAATTTATTTTGGTATTGCATACAAGCACACTTTGAAATGAAATAGTATCGACTTAATTCTAAAAGGTAATGAAGAAGACTTTATTTGAGTGCCACGTGCCGCGATAACGCATTCGTTCTGTAACAATACTGAAGTAAAACCTGTTACTTCCGCCTATGTTTAGCTAGCTCAACTCTAAATTGTTAAGATCTCGCCGCCTGTCCAGTATTGCACTTAAATTCATACAGTCTAGGTACCACAGCGTAGAACTCATCCGAACAATTACCATGAAAGTAATTATAAGAAAGGAACAGAGAGGCAACCTTATGGCGGTGGGCCAGTGACTAAAGCCGAGCCGCGAGGATCAGGACCAAGAATATTGCTGATTCTTGTTTAGATCTTATCTAGGAGCTCCAGGGAAATAGCAGGGGTACCTGACAATATATGGCAACAATACTTTAAGCATGGACGAATGGTAGACATAGATATGCAAGATAGATTCCGGATAGAAAAACTGTCTCGCTGGACACAGAGAAGCGACTTTCTTAGCAACTGATCTAGCGATGGATTCAATGTAGTCTTTCACCTCATGTCAGCTGAGAACGTTAACCCGAGGAGGTACAATGAATCACTTTCTTGGAGGATAGCATCAGCCATGCTGATGGAAGGCAGAGAGATGTTTCTCGGGTGATTAATAGAGGGAAGTCTAGCTAAAATTGACAAGTCATATTTTGTCCCATTTAACGACGGTCTTGAGGCCATTTTGTAAATCGGTTGCCATTTTGACTATGTATGACTGATCAGCTTTACTATCGAGACAGGAGTAAATGGTAGTGCAGTCAGCGTAGATGCCAAGTTGAGAACTGATATCATCAGAAGGGTCTTTAATGAATATTTAAAAACATCGCTGGACAAAGGATGGAGACAAGGGGACCATCCATGTTAGTACAAATAGATGTAGATGAGTAGCCGTTAAGGACACTTTTCATTTCACGAGTTCATAGAAACGAATGAATAACGTGCCCGGAGATACCGTAGCTTTTCTGCTTGAGTAAACCTTAATGCCAGACCTTGTCAAAGGCTTTCGAGATGTCCAATGCTACAGCCCGGGATTCGCCCTTTTTATTTAAAGAACGATAGGCTTTCTTCGCAACTATCTTTAGTACATCAACAGATCATTTGGAAAAACGAATGCCGTATTGCTTGTTTGAGAAAAAACCTGGCAGCGTGTAGCTGAGAGAAGAGCATAATGTGGCCTCGCGGTTGCCCACCGGAAATAAATGCAAGGAAACCTACCCATGCGCGAGATAGCACTACAGTTACCCCGATATTATGCGACTGTTGATCATGCAGCCCCTCTAAGCGCTACCAAAATGTTTGGGCTCCTAACGACGAGTCGGAAGCAGCAACCAGCAAAATGCGAACCAGGTACACTCATAATTGAAAGTCGTAACCACTGTTTAGTCTGATCACCAAATAGTTAAGACATGTATATCATTGAGGCCTTGGTAAAAGAAAGAAAGAAAGAAAGAAAGAAAGAAAGAAAGAAAGAAAGTAAGAAAGGGAACAGGTAAACCATATATTAAAATGAGGACAAGAAATAATCTTCTACTCCTGCTCAAAATATATGGAAGGAATGCGGACTGGATGGTAGTTGAGCCTATCTACTGCTGTTAACCTGTTAAAAGTTGGTAAAGAATTCATATTAAGTAAAGGCTTAATATAAATTCTGATGTCTACTACCAACTAAAAAATCAGAATGGTAACACTTAAATTTTCAGCATTGATAAATAACAATGGGTAAGCATATTTTAAATTACAGGTTGGGATGAGGACTGAATTAATAAGCTCTGTAATATATATATATATATATATATATATATATATATATATATATATATATATATATATATATATATATATATATATATATATAATTATTTTTTTAAATATTTTTAATTATACAGAGTTCTCATGTTTCAAAAACTAGAGCTGAAATATGATCATTAAAATTAAATTGAGTTAGGTATCAAGCCCTGTTTCATCCTCAAGCAAAAATTTAGGAATAGTTTAGTTTATTTTCGCTTCTGGATGAAACAGGGTTTGAGACTTTAATTCAATTTAATTTTAATAATTATATTTAGGTTTTCGGCTCTCGTTTTTGAAACATGAGAACTCTTATGTAGGAAGGAATCATATTTTTTAAAAAAATAATTATAATTTAAGTTCTACTTCTGTATGTTTTAAAAATAAAAAAAACAAAAATACTAAAGAACTCCGGATTATTTACCTAACGTGTTCTTTTCCTATTTTTCTACATATCTATCTATCTATCTATCTATCTATTCATCTATCTATCTATATAATCTATATATCTATCTATCTATCTATATATATATATATATATATATATATATATATATATATATATATATATGTATTTTTAAAAAGAGGGAAACCGCAAACGTTTTTTGGTTGTAATGTGATTTTTTTAAATATATATATATATATATATATATATATATATATATATATATATATATATATTATGCTTTATTCTCTACAATGGCAAATAAAGCATAATATATATTTTTTTTAAAAATCCACATTACAACCAAAACTTTTACAGTTTCTCTCCTCTTTTTAATATATACATTTTTCTCTCGTTGTAACAACTATAACCTCTTTATATATATATATATATATATATATATATATATATATATAAGTGTGATGATGTAAGTATTAAGAGAAAATAAAAATGAAGGAAGCAAAAAAAGAATAAAGAACACTATTCTAAAATAGGATGGCAAAAAAAAACAACCAACAAAAATCAAGTTAGATACAAATAATTAAAATATATAATAATCAATGATATCAATATGCAGTTAAGACTGGCAATGGGCTCTTGGGTGAATATCAGATCAAGAAAGATTTGGTGACGACAACATTCTGATAGGAATGCGTATATTTAAATCAAGCCGCATTGGTCTTGGGGCATTATGTGATTGCCAAAATTCGGATATTCCGGTTTTCTTTTTTGTCATTTTTAATCGGTTTTGCATCTCTATATTTGTGACATTTATATGCTTTGTTGCGTCGAGCCAAAAATTTTGCACCCAGGTGGCTACTCATGATAGGCACCAGTTAAAATATGATATGGGACATTTACACAAAGTTAGTGTTCAAGCAAACATTTTATGTAGACTTATCCACGTAGTGAAGGCATGTATTAACAGAAAATTAAGGTAATGAAAGAAGAAGAAGAAAAATATAGAATGATATTCTCAAATAAGGCGGCAAAAAATAAATAACAACCAACAAAAATTAATATAAATACCAAAAAAATTGAATAAATAAAAATCAAAAGTGTTCATTTCAACGATTCCAATATAGACTGGCAATGTCCTCTGTTAATGGTGGGCTCTTGGATGAATATCACATCAAGAAAGATTTGGTGGCGAGAGCATTCTAAATAGGAGTGGGTATATTTAAATCAAACCGTATTGGTCTTGGGGCATGATAGGATTGTCAAAATTCGTATCTCCCATTATAGATAGATAGATAGATAGATAGATAGATAGATAGATAGATAGATAGATGTGAACAGAATTAGATAGATAGATGTGAACAGAAATAGATAGATAGATAGATAGATAGATAGATAGATAGATAGATAGATAGATGTGAACAGAATTAGATAGATGTGAATAGAA